TTTCAGTCAGTATAAGGCTGTGAGAGAGAGAGAGAGAGAGAGAGAGAGAGAGAGAGAGAGAGAGAGAGAGAGAGAGAGAGAGAGAGAGAGAGAGAGAGAGAGAGAGAGAAGAGAGAGAGAGAGAGAGAGAGAGAGAGAGAAGAGAGATAGAGATAGAGAGAAAGCTAGCGAAGAGAGGGTAAAATGGGTTTTGTGGCAAATAGAGCAAAAGGGACAAAGCACCCCAGGGCTTGCAGGACGGAACATACCAAAGACATAACAAATCAGGAGGGAACATATGACAGACATAACAAATCAGGAAGTAACATACCACAGACATAACAAATCAGGACGGAACATACCACAGACATAACAAATCAGGACGGAACATACGACAGACATAACAAATCAGGAAGGAACATACGACAGACATAACAAATCAGGAAGGAACATACGACAGAAATAACAAATCAGGACGGAACATACGACAGACATAACAAATCAGGACGGAACATACGACAGACATAACAAATCAGGACGGAACATACGACAGACATAACAAATCAGGACGGAACATACGACAGACATAACAAATCAGGAAGAAACATACCACAGACACAACAATTCAGGACGGAACATACGACAGACATAACAAATCAGGAAGGAACATACGACAGACATAACAAATCAGGACGGAACATACGACAGACACAACAAATCAGGACGGAACATACGACAGACACAACAAATCAGGAAGGAACATACGACAGACACAACAAATCAGGAAGGAACATACGACAGACAGAACAAATCAGGAAGGAACATACGACAGACACAACAAATCATAATAAACAATGACAAGACATCAAATCACAACACAAATTCACACTTGGTCTATCTTCCATAACACTAAATGACACAGCAAAAGCCTTTGTCAGTTTGCTAGTATGTGATGCATTACTGTGCATTAATCTGTGTTGTTTCAGAGAATATCATATTTATTTTTGTTGCTTCTTCAGCCCATTCAACTTTTCTAGTCAATAAATGATCACCTGTATGAGAGCCCCCTATTAACAGAAGCTAGATACAATATTGCGCATTGGTTTTCTTTAGAATCTGACAACACTTTTAATATGCCCTTACTGTTAGATGTGGAATGACATTTGATATTTTATTAGGATCCCCATTAGATGTTGCAAAAGTAGCAGCTACTCTTCCTGGGGTCCACACAAAACATGAAACATGACATAATACAGAACATTAATAGACAAGGACAGAACTACATAAATTATGTATTTTTTTTTACAAAAGGCACACTTAGCCTACATAACAATACATACAGTGCCTTCGGAAAGTATTCAGACCCCTTGAATTTTTCCACATTTTGTTAGGTTACAGCCTTATTCTAAAATGGATTAAATCTTTTTTTCCCCTCATAAATCTACACACAATACCCCATAATGGCTAAGCAAAAACAGGTTTTTATAAATTTTTATTAATTTATAAAAAAATAAAAAATTGAAATATTACATTTACATAAGTATTCAGACCCTTTCCTCACCTTTGGCAGCGATTACAGCCTCGAGTCTTCTTGGGTATTAAGCTACAAGCTTGACACACTTGTCTTTGGGGAGTTTCTCCCATTTTTCTCTGCAGATCCTCTCAAATCAGGTTGGATGGGGAGCGTTGCTGCACAGCTATTTTCAGGTCTCTCCAATCAGGTTTAATTCCGGGCTCTGGCTGGCCCACTCAAGGACATTCAGAGACTTGTCCCGAAGCTACTCCTGCGTTGTCTTGGCTGTGTGCTTAGGGTTGTTGTCCCGTTGGAAGGTGAACCTTCACCCCAGTCTGAGGTCCTGAGAGCTTTGGAGCAGGTTTACATCAAGGATCTCTCTGTACTTTGCTCTGTTAATCTTTTCCTCGATCCTGACTAGTCTTCCAGTCCCTGCCGCTGAAAAACATCCCCACAGCATGATTCTGCCAGGTTTCCTCCAGACATGACGCTTGGCATTCAGGCCAAAGAGTTCAATATTGGCTTCATAAGACCAGAGAATCTTCTTTCTCATGGTCTGAGAGTCTTTAGGTGCCTTTTGGCAAACTCCAAGCGGGCTGTCATATGCCTTTTACTGAGGAGTGGCTTCCGTCTGGCCACTCTACCATAAAGGCCTGATTGGTGGAGCGCTGCAGAGATAGTTGTCTTTCTGGAAGGTTCCCCCATCTCCACAGAGGAACTCTAGAGCTCTGACAGAGTGACCATCGGGTTCTTGGTCACCTCCCTGACCAAGGCCCATCTCCCCCAATTGCTCAGTTTGGCCAGGTGGCCAGCTCTAGGAAGAGTCTTGGTGGTTCCAAACTTCTTCCATTTAAGAATGATGGAGGCTACTGTCGTCTTGGGGACCTTCAATGCTGCAGACATTTTTTGGTACACTTCCCCAGATCTGTGCCACGACACAATCCTGTCTTGGCGCTCTACGGACAATTCCTTCGACCTCATGACTTGGTTTTTGCTCTGACATGCACTGTCAACTGTGGGATCATATATAGACAGGTGTGTGACTTTCCAAATCATGTCCAATCAATTGAATTTACCACAGGTGGACTCCACTCAAGTTGTAGAAACATCTCAAGGATGATCAATGAAAACAGGATGCACTGAGCTCAATTTCGAGTCTCATAGCAAAGGGTGTGAATAGTTAAGGTATTTCTGTTTTAAATTCTTTCATAGATTTGCAAAAATGTCTGAAAACCTATTTTCGCTTTGTCATTATGGGGTATTGTGTGTAGTTTGCTGAGGATTCTTTAAGAAAAAAAATCTATTTTAGAATAAGGCTTTAACGTAACAAAATGTGGAAAAACTCAATGGGTCTGAATACTAGTTCAAATAAGGGAGATACGTTCTGCCGTGAGGTATTGCTTTAACTGTTTTTAGAAACCAGGTTTGCTGTTCACTTGAGCAATATGAGATGGAACAGAGTTCCATGCAATAATGGCTCTATATAATACTGCACGCTTTCTTGAATTAGTTCTGGATTTTGGTACTATGAAAAGACCCCTGGTGGCATGTCTGGCGGGGTAAGTGTGTGTGTCAGAGCTGTGTGTAAGTTGACCATGCAAACAATTTGGGATTTTCAGCATATTAATATTTCTTATAAAAAGAAGAAGTGATGCAGTCAGCATGCATAGTATTTATATCAGCCCTCTGATTACAATGAAGAGCAAGACGTGCTACTCTGTTCTGGGCCAGCTGCAGCTTAACTACGTCTTTCCTTGCAGCACTTGATAACACAAAACTAGAGCCTGCAGGACTTGCTTTTTGGAGTGTGCTGTCAAAAAAGCAGAGCATGTCTTTACTACGGACAGACCTCTCCCCATCTTTACAACCATTGAATCTATATGTTTTGACCATGAGTGTTTACAATCGAAGGTAACACCAAGTAATGTAGTCTCCTCAACTCTTTCAACAGCCACACCATTCATTACCAGATTCAGCTGAGGTCTATTGTGTAAATAATCACATTCATTTACAGTCACTAAACATTCCCTGCCATCTGTTTCTATAAAGCTGCCATGATGTTGTCATTATGTTGAAATCAGATCAACCGGATTCCATTTTAATGACATTACTTATTCCATCGGTTCCCTCAAATGAAATACAATACTTACCGGGATACACGAGCACACTGACAGAAAAACACAGACAGAAAGAGAATACACAGAAAATTCACAACACTCTAACATGGAATATTTAAACTGAACAAAAATATAAATGCAACATGTAAAGTGTTGGTCCCATGTTTCATGAACTGAAAAAAATATCCCAGAAATGTTCCATATGCACAAAAATATGATTTCTCTCAAATTCTGTGCACAAATTTGATTACATCCCTGTTAGTGAGCATTTCTCCTTCGCCAAGATAATCCATCCACCTGACAGATGTGGCATGTCAAGAAGCTGATTAAACAGCATGATCATTACACAGGTGCACCTTGTGCTGGGGACAACACAATACCACAGATGTCTGAAGTTTTGAGGGAGCGTGCAATTGGCATGCTGACTGCAGGAACGTCCACCAGAGCAAGAGAATAAAATGTACATTTCTCTACCATAAGCTGCCTCCTACGTCGATTTAGAGAATTTGGCAGTACGTCCAACCAGCCTCATATGTATGGCGTTGTGTGGTTCAAGAGTTGTCATTCCCTTTGGAGCTGGTGCCCTTTCAGTTAATGCATTTATTGTTATAGCGCTTAACCTGACTGCCCTTAATGGTGGTTCCCATAGTCCTGGTATGCTTATAATATGTGCCTTACCCACTGGGAACATACTGGTTGAATCAATGTTGTTACCACGTCAATTCAATGAAATTACGCTGAACCACTGTAGAATAGACGTTGAACTGACATCTGTGCCCAATGGGAAACACCTCTCTCTCTCTCTCTCTCTCTCTCTCTCTCTCTCTCTCTCTCTCTCTCTCTCTCTCTCTCTCTCTCTCTCTCTCTCTCTCTCTCTCTCTCTCTCTCTCTCTCTCTCTCTCTCTCACTCTCTCTCTCTCTCTCACAGCCTTATACTGACTGAAAACTAATGGCATTAATATAAGGATGTAAAAACAAATAAAGAGAGTCACACACTCTAAGCATAAACTCCCAGTAATGTATTGGGTAAGAAACCACCAACATCTCGGCATCACTGTGACTTCCAACATTTCTACGTTTGTGGACCACCACATTAAACCAATGGTTGAGAATCTCCCATCTTATGTCAAAGACACTAGTCACATGATCTTACTGATAGAGAGCTTAGGAAGGATACCAGAGGGCACCCTGCTGGCCACTTTTGATGTGGAGAGCTTGTACACTAACATCCCACACACTGGAGGCTTGCAGGCGCTGCAAGACTTCCTTCAGATAAAGACCCTACCCTTGCGCCATCCAATGATTGCATCTTGCAACTCGCTGAACTGGTATTATCCAATAGCTACTTCATCTTTGAATCAGACTTTTTGCTTCAAATTCGGGGTGTGGCCATGGGCTCCCCTTTTGCCCCCAACTATGCGAACCTGTATGTGGGACAATTTGAGGAATCACTCATTTACAAAACAGAGACACACCCCCTACTTTCTAAATTCCTCCTATCGAAGAGATACATAGATGATGTCTTTGTGCTCTGGGAAGGAAGTCAGCAGGAACTAAATTAATTCCAAACTCTATTAGACGAGAGCTCTGAATATCTCAAATTCACCATGCAGACTGATGAGAGAAAAAAAAACTACCTGGACTTATGGATCATCAAAGAGAATGATGTATTACATCACATTATACACAAAGCCCTGGTTCGTACGGATAGTATGCACCCCCTTACATCATTTAGCAGATGCTCTTATCCAGAGCGACTTACAGTTAGTGAGTGCATACATTAATTTATCATACTGGCCCCCCGTGGGAATCAAACCCCCAACCCTGGCATTGCAAACTGAGCTACATCCCTGCCGGCCATTCCCTCCCCTACCCTGGACGACGCTGGGCCAACTGTGCGTCGCCCCATGGGTCTCCCGGTCACGGCCGGCTACGACAGAGCCTGGATTCAAACCAGGATCTCTAGTGGCACAGCTAGCATTGTGATGCAGTGCCTTAGACCACTGCACCACTCGGGAATCTTCGCCTCAAGAATGGTCTACCATATAGACAGTTATGCAGGGTTAAACAAATCTGTGGCCACCAGTCAGATTTTGACAGCAATGCTAAGAAAATGGCGGATAAGTTCAAAATGAGAAAAAAAAATGAGGACAAAACTATCAGTGCTGCAATGATGAAAATATCTCAAAAACCAAGAGAGGAATTGCTAAAACCTAAACCAAAGAAGAAAAACAACGCAACAGTGTTTTGCACTAAGTACACCAAGTGTTCTGAGAAAATGAAAGCAATCCTGAAAAAGCACGGGCATATTCTGCAATCAGACAAAAAAATTGCACACCTCTTGAAGGAACCCCACTGGTGTTATATAAGCGTGGTCCCAATATTGGGGATAGCTTAGTGAGATCTGACTTGCCCCCTGAGCCCACTCAGACACTCTTGACACCTATTCCAAATGGGAACTACAAATGTGGCTCATGCGCACACTGCAATAGCACTACAAATATTGACTTTGATCTCAGGCCCTTCTTATGACCAATTCAATTTTTTTGTGAACAGGTCTTGAAAATGAATGTATTCTTTCTACAGCTTATCAGCATACACCCAATATGTTCCCCCTGTTGATGATGCTTATTATGCATTATGGTTGAACCAAAATATTACATTTAACACAAGGCCTCCTGTAGCTCAGTTGGTAGACCATGGCACTTGCAACGCCAGGGTTGTGGGTTCGATTTCCACGGGGGGCCAGTATGAAAAATGTGTGCACTCACTAAACTGTAAGTCGCTCTGGATAAGAGCATCTGCTAAATGACAAAAATGTAACAAAAACATTTAATGAAATTGGAAATATTTAAATATATAAGTGAAATTAAATGAAACAATGTATGTTGATGCTAATGATAATGATTACAATGGTATAATATAGTCAATATGCTGTGGGCTATTGTCTTTTAATTCATTCTGATTAACCTAGCAATTACGACACACCTCTCACTATTGTCATTGGTTGCAGTAATTGCACTGTTTTACTACATAACCAGGTTCAAGCATTCATGACATTACCCTGAAGAAGGCACAGTGATGCCGAAACGTTGGTGGTTTACCCAATAAATTACTGGGAGTTTATACATAGAGTGTGCGACTTTCTTCTTTGTTTTTATAGATTGCAGTTTATTCTCCGTTGGTCAGCAACTCTACACTAAATAATGTTCTCTGGGTGTGCGCCAGCTCATGCTTTTTATTAGATTAAAATAAGGATGAACATCACAATACTGTGGGAAGTGTCAGTCCTGAAAGCTCAAGACTGATTATAGATTCCATGTGAAGGGTAATGAAGTGTACAAAATGTCTTCTGCCATCTTTTACCTCCCCTGTGTGTCTCAGTCGTAGTGTCAGGAAAGGAAGACGATAGGACAAGGCTGTCATCAACAGTAGGATTCTCCAGGGGGTAATCCTGCTCTAGTAACTAAAGTGAATGGACAGAATGAACGGTATAGAACCAGGCTATCATATTTTATCTTATTCTAGCCTGATGTTAGGTGCCCAGGTAGAAGTTTCCCTTATGCACAGATCCAGGATCAGTTCAGCCGCCTCAAATACTAACCTCAGTGATTAGGGGGGATGAAGCAAAACTGACCTTTGATGAATGTCTAGAGGCAACTTCCTTCATCCTGTTAAACCTGTATAGCTGGGAGCGAAGGCCTGATGACGATGTGTTGCCGCTGAAGTATTGTTCAAAAACACCCTACACTCTCCCAATTAAGTTATGGGTTATGTTAATACATTGGGTTATTGATGGTGGCATATTTGTGGAAGATTGGACTCAAGGGAAAAATAAAATAAAACATCATTTATGGTTGAAATTAAGTGTCTTTCTCAGTAGCGTAATCT